ACTGTATTTCTTACTTTAGCTCTCCTCAAAATGTACTTCCCAGAAGGCAGCAGAATCCCCATCACCTGAAAGCTTCCTAGAACTGCAAGTGCTTTAGCTTCCAGCTTACTGAATCAGTATCTCTGTGTTTGAATAAGCCGGCTGGGTGATTGTAACACTAGCCAATGTTTGAGAACCATTGCCAGAAATGATTGATTCTAGCTTTCCACTTTGTTACTGATCATGAGGGCTGAAAATAGCTCCAGCCGACTATGGGAAGGCTGAAGTTTCTAGATACATTTCTTAAAGCACAGGCTGGTGAAGTTACAGATCCAGGTCTCCGTTACTTCTTGGCCTTATGTGTATAACTCTATTTGGACCTATTCTCCCCATCTGTAGTGAGGCCAATGTCAGATAAGGGTTTTGAAACTATTATGGACAATGGAATCGTTGGAATCAAGAGTGTAAAATAGATTAAAACAGGACTGTTCCAGGTAAGGAGAGAGAAGGTGGAAAGTGAACTTCAGTTGCATGTTCCAGGACATGTCTATAACAATTGATCTTCATATCCTTCATTCTTGTACTGAATGTTCACTTCAGAAGGCGGCTTGCATGAGCCTGATGATCTCCTTACAAGTATTTCCTATTTGTATATTCTTACCAGAAACCTAGTTTCCAAAATGTTTCTCACAAACTTGAAAGAAGTCCTTCAGTACACAGGAATGTTTCATCTTATCATAGCCTACTTTATCTTTTTTAAATAATAATTTTTAAAATGCTGCTTTTGCTTTTGGTGTCATTTCTAAGAATCCATGTTTAAAAGGAAGTTTCTCACAATAGATGGATCCTGGTAGGAAGAAAAAAATTATACAACAGAACTTCAAATCCCCAGAGAATCCAGACTTCCTGGATCCATTGAGGCTGGAGGACTAGTGTCATGGGTGTACTTGAAACCTTCACACTATCCCTTGAAGTCATCCCCAAACAAACGAGCAACAAAAAAGTTTAGCTCCAAAAGTAAAAAAACGTCACTTTTAAGTATTGAGCTCTTAAATAATAAGAATAATAATAAATGTCACCTTTAAGTATTGTGCTCTTTTAAAAAAAAGCATATGATTAACAAAGGAAATCAGTAACTCGAGAACATGATGAGACATATAAATAAATAAGGGCAACTAGGTGAGTCTAAATAAACAAACAGACCAAGTAGAAGAGAAGCGAGGAGAGAGTGGATAAAATGGGGAAAATGTAACCAATGTCACTGAACAATATATGTAGAAATGCTTAAACGGGAGCATAGTTTATATTTCTTAATATGTGTCTTGTCACCAGAATTAATTTTACAAATTGAGAGTTAAAATCGTAATTAACCAAGAAATAAGAATTTTTAAAAAGTGATAAAAAAAGGTGAAAATAAACTAAGAATGTATTTAAAATATTAATTATTAAGATGACCAGATGCTTAAAATTCTGTTCTGCAGCTAGCCATCCTAATTTTTATTTCTGAATCATCCTGGTAGAATATTCCTTACACTGTTTTCTCAGCCTCGCAATTACCCTCAAGTTAATGACTGACATTTAAGAACGAATTACTGGAAATGTGATAGAAGGACTTAACGCTCCACTTTTAATCCTAGATGTAGTTTCTAATTTTGGAAACATTAAGGATTTTTCAGCTTAAATCACTCATTTGACCAAAGAGAACACTGGGGCCCTAGGTAAATGAAGCTGTCATGAATTATATGATGAACATATTAGGGTGAGAAGAAGAGATTCTTAAGACTGAATGCAATAGCAGGACTATCCCAACATAACACATCTTTTTCTCTGGTAAATAAAGGATCTGAAAAGAAAATCACAAAACCAGTTGATTTTTCTTTCCATTGCAGCTGTCCACAGACATACTTCTGCAGGACCGCTTAAACCAAGGGCTCTTTCTCACCATAGGGAATTGTTTTCTTTAACTTATTCTTCCCCCACATTTTCCCTCCTTTTTATTGCTAGGCTTAGACTTAATATAAATACAGTCATTATTAATTACTAAGTGCTGCTTAGAACTAGAAACCCTAAACTCACAGTTTTTTCTGAGGCTACTGTCTGCTCAATAAAAGTTTTATTGCTTCAGATATGGATTCTGGGTAAAACTTGTTTTTCTCTCCTGGCAGCTTTTCGTCAGAACACACATGGCATCCAGATGACATCCATCAAGAAACGGAGATCCCCAGATGATGAGCTGTTGTACTTACCAGTGAGTCTCTCAGGGTTTTCAATGTTGCCTCATTTTCACCTCCTTTGAAAGAATTGTAGTATGTGCTCGCCTATGGATGACCTGTGACTTTGAGAAAGGAAGGGGAGAGTAGTTAGTGCTACAAAGTACAGAGTGTGTTTTCTGAAAAATCAGGAAGGTATCTCTTCCCTTCACAGGTTTAGAATATGAGGGAGTACCCCAAACAAACTGGCATTGTGTTGAGTGGTTTTTGTCCTACACATTTTTTCTCTGTTGGCCAAACATCAAACAACTTGCTCTGAGTTAGTGCATGCAGTGGCATTGCCTGGGGAGGTTCTCTCTGGTCACAGTGAGTTTTTCATAAAAGATGTTTCCCTTGAACCTCATTTTTCTGATGGCCGGTTTAAGAGAACTTGGGGCTATGAAATTTTATTTCATGCTTGGGAAAAATGCCCCAGAAACCATTGTGACGTTGAACACAGCTTACAAGAACAGCGCTATGGGAAAAACTCAAGTGGACGACTGGTTTTTTCATGTCAAAAATGGTGAAATGTCAATTGATGACCAATGGATGCCCATCAACTTCCTGAACAGATGAAAATGTCGACTCAGTGCATTTGGAGTTCGTTCCACCAGGTCAGACTCTTAATCAAGATCTCTATTTAGAGTTTCTGAAAAGATAGAGTAACAGTGTACAACAAAAAGGCCTGATTTGTGGCAGAAGGGGGACTGGTTTTGCCACTATGACAATGCACCTGCTCACGCAGCCATCTCAAGGTGCCAGTTTTTGGCATAAAACAGCATGCCTCTCTTGCCCCACACACCTGACTCGCCTGACCTCATTCCATACTACTTTTTGTTCCCGTGAATGAAGAGAGAAATGAAATGACAGAGATTTGATACATCGAAGAGGTGAAGAAAAAAAAAATGAAGGAGGAGGTGTCAGCCATCCAAACAGATGCGTTTGAAAAATATTTCTAAGAATGGAGTTACAGATTTGACAAATGTATTAAGTGTATTGAGAATACTTTGAAGGTGATAAAGTAGTTTTGTAAAAAAAAAACAACTAAATGCATAGTTCTGGAAAAAAAATCTGTTTTTTCTGGGGCGGGGTATCCCCTCGTATATTAATGGCTTGGGCTCCTCTGCTTACCAATCGAAGTGATTCTCCTTAACACACTTATTATTTAACTAGAGTGTTAAAAATAATTTATACTAGCAAACGATATTGAGGGCTAAAGTGGAGAGCAAATGTTTTGAGATTGATGAGGGCAACGGGTGTACATAGGTGCTTGACTCAGTGTTTGTATGTATGGACTGTGATAAGAAATGTACACGCCCTCAATAAAATAATTTTTAAAAAAAGAAAATGAAAAAAAAATTTATACTGTATAGTTTAAGGATGATAAATTACTCTAGGCTGGATGGCCAAACCAACTTGAGTAGTTTGTTAGGAAGCATTCACAGCATAGTCAAGGCTATAGTTGCAGAGCATTGACTGTGGTTTCTTTAAGGAAGTGTGATTAAGAAAGAAAAACAGGTAGACTCCTCAACTATATGTGAAAGCCAGAAGCTCAGCTCAGTGACTGTGTGAGGACGTTGTTTGCTCCCGTGAGGAGCCTTGGCCCTCTCTGGATCACTATGGTGGCCTTTGCTAGTCTACAGTCCCATTTCTTTAATGCTCATTGCTTTACATCTTTGCATCTAGTGGTGCGGCAGAGGTTTTTGCCATCTAGCATAGCCATTGAGGAGCCCTGGTGGCACAGCAGTTAGATGCCTGGCGGCTGAGAGAAAGGTCAGAGGTTTGAGTCTGCCCATCCCTCTGCAGAGAGGGATGTGGCAGACTCCTTGTATAAAGAGCCATAGCCTTGAGAACTCGACAATGTGACCATTTTCATCTGTCTTATAGGAGCCCTGGTGGCCTGCTGGTCTATTAACCACAAGGTTAACCTTTCAAACCACCAGCCGATCCACAGCAGATGGAGATAGGGCTGGAGAAGATAGTGCTTTCTATTCTATTAAAGAGTTAGAGTCTCAAAAACTCACAGCGGTGGTTCTACTCTGTCCTATAGCATCATCAAGTCAGAATCAAGTCAATGGCAGTGAGTTTTTTAACCAGGTTGATGGTGGGGTTTTGTGTTGGATTCCTAACTGCCAAGTCAGTTTTCAAAACAGAAACCATTATTATAACAGAAAGTAATTATGGATGAAGTGTGTGTGGTTCTCTGGAAATGCTGCGCTTTTTGTAGTTTACATCATTAGTGCAATTGGAATGAAAGTGTTTGGTTCAGAAGTCTTAGGGTTTACATTTTGAAATTAGGTAAACGATTTCATCTTTAGATCTTGAATTCATTTTTCATTTTATTTTATACAATGTGTATACCATTCCGTTTTCTGCATTTTGAAGTATAAACAATATAAATCTTAATTCTGTAAGTGGTTTTTGTAATTAGAATGTAACTCTCTCCTATCCTCAAAACGCTAAAAATAAACCCATTATGTGCAACAAAAAAAAGTCCCCCCCTAAAAATCAGGAGTTCAAACCCATGATCCATTCCACAGAAGAAAGGTGAAGCTGTGGACGCCCATAAAGATTTACAATCTCAGAAACAGAAGGACCAGTACTAAGTTACTGTCCTATTGGGTAACTGTGTGAGGAAGTCAACTCAATGGCATCGAGTTATGGTCTCCAGTTGTCCAGGAATTTATTGGAAGACAGTGGTTTGCATATAGTCCTTACTGCCAGTGACCTGCATGGACATCAGACTCGAGGGAAGAGCCTAAAGACATGGCTGGGACCAGCTGCCGGGGGGTTTTGAAGCTGAAGCCACTTGTCCGGTTTGGGTAGGCTATACCCACTTGACCACCTCCTTTAGATCCTGACCCTCGGAAACTAGACTACCCGGAGACCAGTCACGTTGTGTGTTAGCTAAGCTGTCTGGTTTTCCTCAAGCCACAGGAGAAACTGACTTGTGAAACTCAAGTAAATGTTATCCTGATCCATGATGTATTTAAAAAATGGCATATGCTTTTTACTCAAAGAATAGGAACCATATGAAAATGTATTTTTTAAATGAAATGTCCATTTTTTTAACTACTGGGGGAGGTACTCTGCAATGAGTTGTATCTTAAGTTTGATAAAGATTTGCCCAAACTGAAGTCTGTGAGGAAAACATCCTATTATTCTGGCATTGACTGAGGGGCAGAGATCAGTAGGACACAGGTCCTGCCTCCAGTTTGCCTTATAAAGAGGAGCCAGGAAGTTAGAGTGTAGCACATGTTTCAGTACACACAAGCATGTTGCTGCGGGACACCTGAGGGACATCAGGCTTGGCCTAAAATATTAACATAAAAATAAATTTTATCCAGATGTTTATACTGGTGATGAGTTTTCAAGAATGACTAGGGCTTAACCCAGCGAAAGGAAGAGAGAATATTTCCATTTATGGATTCTGATCAAAGCTGACCCTTGGCTTCAAAACAGATACTAGGTTGAGCTAAGTAGGTTGCTTAGGGTACAGCATATAGAAAGTGCCGTCAATGACTCGCGTGCATTATTACTCTAGATGTTCTCATACATATTTTTTTTTTAATTAAAAGACTCTCTTATGGAGAGACTGTTTCCCTGGCTGAAAACTTTTGTTCATTCATGCATAAATATAGTTAATTTTCATTCTTTATGAATTCCATACCTACTCGTAAATTTGCTTAGTTGCTAACACTTATTTATTGCCACAGAGTCAATATTTGTGGCCCTCTGTGTTCCTCTACAGACCTACGCAGGGCAGAGCAGTAGGGTTTGTAAAAATTGCATACCAACATACGTTCTCCCAGCTGAGGTTACGCACGACCATGCTCTGCCTTATTGTGCATCTCTCCTACTCTAACCACGGGTCCTTTGCCTGGTCCATTAGTGCCAGCTCCACGCTTTCTTCATTCTTGTTTCTGACTTTGCTGCCGAAAATCGCTCTCAAGTCTGAGGGATAACTGCTGTCTAGTGTAAGTAAGCACAAGAAGATTATGATGTGCTTTTTGGAGAGAAAAAAAGTATGCATGCTGGTTCATTTGTTCCAACTTGAATTAAAATGTTCTTGGTTATACTTTGTATGAGTGGACTGACAACATAAAATAGGAAACACACACAAACAAGGTTATGTATTCTTCGATTCGCAAAGTCTTGTGAACAGAAGCCCATGGGCATGTGTATTTTCTGAAGAACAGTGGCTCGGTATTCATTAATGCAGTCTTCATGATGATCTTATAGAACAGTGGTTCTCAACCTTCCTAATGCTGCGACCCTTTCATACAGCTCCTCATGTGGTGGTGACCCCCCACCATAAAATTATTTCCGTTGCTACTTCATCACTGTCATTTTGCTGCTGTGATGAATCGGGCGACCCTGTGAAAGGGTCATTTGACCTCCCAACCCACAGGTTGAGAACCACTGTTAGAGAACATAGTTCCAAAGTTCTTACCTTTCCCTTTGCCTCACTTCCATAGGTGAGGGGCCGGGAGACGTACGAAATGCTGCTGAAGATCAAGGAGTCCCTGGAACTCATGCAGTACCTGCCCCAGCACACTATTGAGACCTACAGGCAACAGCAGCAGCAACAGCACCAGCACTTACTTCAGAAACAGTGAGTAGACCGGTGTGTCCTAGAGTTAGTTGGGTATTCACGCCTGCAGTAAGTTGATGATAGGTGATATAAGAGATGCGATTGTGAGGCAGCAGACTGTAATCATTAAAAATGAGCTGCTACGGGGCTCCTTTTTCCAAGTACAGTCTTCCATGTCTCTTATCATAATCTTCCGCGGAAGTTCCGCCCATGCTCGGAGATTGAATGCGAGTGATTGCAGGTGCATCAACAAAGAGACCCACACTAACAGTGCTAACCTTCTGCTGTATTTCCCTCATCCATTTACATCTATCAGTAAAATAATTTTGAACTGATACTCTATTCTTGTATTACTGTGTATATTTTAAAGCAGAATCTTCTTTTATCCCAGTGTGACTTGCCTTGTGCATCTGGGCTGCACATTACCCACTGTGGGGTATGCTGCTATAAACTAGGACAGAAAATAATTTTTCCAGTCGGGAGACCTCTTGAAAGATCATGTCGAGAAGTATGCCAAAGCTTGTTGCATGCACTCTGGGAAAATGTTTGGGTACAGAAGGTCAACACAGCATCACACTGCCATGTTTTTGCATCCCTACTCTAGTTTGTCTTCCAGCAACACATTTTTTAACATTAATTGGGCCAGGTTTTGCAACCATAATAAAATATACAGGACAAGCTATGTATGCATTGACTTTTACCCTGATTATTGGATCTTTGATTATGTTATTTCATGACTAACCAGAATAGAATAGCTCTGGTGAAAGGAAGGAAGTTGGCCAATCAAGGCTGTTTATACTTACCCTTCTGTGGTTAAGCGTACTCACTTACTAGCTTAATTAGAATATTGTTTGTACTGGAAGTCTTGCCAAAATCTCTGTAGAGAAATGAAAAAACATATAATTTGTGCCTATTTGAATAACTCAAACATTTAACCTTACTCTCTAGGGTAAACAAAAAAAAAAAAAAAACATTAAAAAATGAAGCCAGTCTATCTTGCCTGAGGCAGAGGTTGTCTTTAAACTAGAAATGTAAACAAACAATAAATAATGGTTCTTTTCTGGTGTGTTTTTATATATTATACAGAGTGTTGTGGAACGTTAACAAAGATGATTTATTATTTCTTGTTAAATAGACATAAGGGGATCGAATAGCTGACAGCCAAGAAGTACCTTGTGAACGATTTGCTTCTTGACTATGGCCTTCAAGGTGTCTAGGAGAGAAACATAAACAAAATGTACTCTCTCTTTAAAGGACTTTAGGCTAGTTGAGTAGTTAAAACCCCCTTGCCCTTCATTTGCTCTTAACATGAACATTTTTTCCACCATAATTACATAGTTTTATATGTTAGGCTGAGCAGGAAGCTTAATACAATTCCTTGGCAAGACTGATTATTCCAAAAGTAAATTAGAACTTGAGGTGGCAGGCAGCATCGCCAGTTCTATGGGTCCTTTGAAATATCAGGCAGAAAGAGATGTCAATATAGTCAAGTGCAAAATCCATTTTGTTCTCCTAAAACAATATAGCAGAGATCAAGGAGACCTAAAACATCTTTAACAAAGAAAGGGAAACCCAGAGGGGATAATGTCTTTTCCAAAGGATGCATGCCAGTAACGGATTAAGAAACACTCCCAAATTGCCTTGCATTGACTCTGGAAAAGTGTGTTTCAGCCAAAATGACTTCAGAAGAAGTAGCCATTAGCATATCATGGTGACAGCAATTCTGTTTTTTTTTCAAGTTAATAGGAAAAAAATTGGTCAGACCATCTATTTCTTTTTAAGTGGCATGGCTTAAAGGATTGGTCTAGTTAGGAGAGGGTACAACACATTCCCCCCTCTACCCCCCCAGAAAAAGGGCAAGTGATAAGTATTTTACTTTCTGTCATATCTCTTGTGACTATTCAATGTAATTCTGTGATGGCAGTAAAAAGCAGTCATAGAGAACAAAGTTTCATCAACAAATAAGACTTTATTAATAGACACTGAAGTTTGAGTTTCATGTAATTTTCATGTCACACAATGTTCTACTTCTTTTGATACTTTCCTACCATTAAAAAGATAGAAACCTTTCTTCACTCATTGGCCATGCTCACTTGTCGTCTGCCGTTTCCTGGTCTAGATTGATGAGTAGCTTTTCTTCTATTGCTTCATGAGGTTCGAGCTAGATTTGATTATTCTATTTCCAAGCTAATGTTAATGCATATTTTAAGGTAAAGTGTCATTAAAAGTGTGCGCTCATCCTAATGAGAGCTTTCTGCTTATATTCATTTTCTAATACAACAGCAGCAACTTTCAATAGTGGTCTCTTTTGTCTCAGCAAGTTACAAAAGCCATGGAGACACAAACTATGGTCCAGGATGAAGCTCTGTTGGGAGGTAGGGATCCAAGAACTGATTGGATTAGCATACCAGACCTCCTTTGAAAACCTGCTCCATGAAGTCACTTAAGGAAACAAAGAGGGCAATGGAATTCCTACTCACACATAGTTCACTTCTTTAACCTAACCAGATAATGGTTTTGGTCTTAAAGGTGTTGTGGAAATTTTTCGTAGCATTGTGTAAGTTGACAGAACAATTTCCCAGAGCTTGCTATATCATGAAACAAAGGAAATGAGTACCATCGCTTTAGAGACTTTGCAAGCCCGGAGGACCCATGCCAGCGAGCCTGTGGCAGGTGGTATTTGGTGGGTGCTTATATGAAGCCCACAGCCCTGTGTCCCCATAAGGTGATTTATTCAGTGCTCACTGTCTGACTGCCGGATCTTGTTCTGAATGGGATAAATTTGCAATCCATATTTCATCAAACAATCTTACTTCAACAAAAAAGAAAATGAATTTTAAAAGTGTGGCATTTTTAATAGCGCAAAGAATGTAGGGCATAGTCCCACTTAAAAACAACAACAACAACAAAAACGTGTATGGCCACAGGTAAATAGAGAAGAATTTATAGCCATATAATTTCCTGATGTGTTTATTAAAAAGTGTCATATGCATGTTTTCGAGTGGCTATTTCACAATGTGTGGGCTAACATGAGGTGTGCTACATTGTGCATGGAAAGCTAACTGCAAAATGGAATCTTTGCAAAATATAGACATTTGGTCTGCCTATGCCTTTGTAACATGAGATATACCTGGGCCCCAGGGTTACTGTACCACTGTATAAATGTTCTAGTTGTTATATTCTTCAGTTGAGGTTTTTGGGGGTTTTTTTTTTGGTTTCTTTTTCAGTTTCTTTTCTTTTCATTCAAATCTCCCAGAGAGAGCATGATCGTCGCCTAGACAAAGAAAAGTGCCTATAATAGCTTGTGATTTCCTTTCCAAAACATAGTACCTGTCTTGTACTGGTAAGGAAGCAGTTTCCAATTTTTAATAGTAGAAGAAGAATTAATGGGAAAGAATACAAGATAGCATTAGAGTACTTTCAGTCAAATGATTTCAGTTTCCTCACAATAGGTTTCTCTCTGCTGAGTTTGTGCATGGTTTTATTTTTCAAAAATGTTCCTTCCAAATGGACCTTCATGATCATAGGCTCTCGAGAAGCTAGATTTTACACTGAGTTACTGGGCATCAAATTGTTATGGCTACAAATAGATTTGGGCATCATTTATCAAGAATTTTTCTTTTAGTTGATTTGTCTACATAGGTATACATATAGGAGATGATGTGTCCAGACACAGAGATCTCAACTCTGTCTTTGCACAAGAGTGATTATGCCTTCCATTTATACTTCTGAGGGACATCACCTCATCAGACAGCTTTTCAAAAGTCACTTGAGATCTACTTAATATGCTTTTGACTTCTGGACTTCCAACTAGCACTTGATTTGCTTTATCTGAACTTTATCCTGCTTCTCCCTACCTCCTCCCCTGATCTCAGGGCTCTAACTGTTAGAACTTCACTTAGTTTGAGTGTTGCTTTGCTTTGGAAGCCTTTTTGACTTCCTACAGGATGGACCCCATGTGGATCTTATTTTAAATCCTGACCTCCTGAGCCTTTCTCCTTTCTTTTTGCTTTTTGATCAGCGAACAATTGTGGCTCATACAAATAGCACAAGCCAGGAAATAGGAGGATTTTGGAATAGTTTGGAATATTCAGGAGCATATCCTGTTCCTGCACCTTTGCCTTTAGTTGGATAAATGAAGGCAGTGAACCTTACCCGTGATTCCATAGCCAGTTCATAACAAACCTAGGGCTGGAATCAGGTTTAGAACTTGGATTTCTCTGGAATATGGTCTTCTTCATTTTATGAGCAAGTTATAATAATTGAAACTAAACCAAACGTCCATTCCCATAATTCTGTCTCTGTGTCATTCCACTGGCAGGGAGTTGAAATCAACTCAGAGGTAATGAGCATGATTGGGTTTGGTATTTCAGTTTAAAATCCTGTGATTTTAAATCCATTTGGTTGCAACTATCCCCAACAATGTTGGATCCCCCCCCCTCAAATTCAGTATATCTTTCTGGGGGAAGCAACCAGTAGCTTCAGGATTATCAATATAGACATCAACAGAGGACGCATATATTCAAACTGGTAGAGGTCACTACCACCATAATTCTTAATTTGATTTAGAACCCTCTACATTTTCAGGATATCCATTGAAATTGTCAGATGTATAGGACACCCCTCTCCCCCAACACACACACACACACACACACACACACACACACACAAGCTAAGTGTATCATTCAACCTTATAGGTCATGAAGTTATATAAACTCTTCAAGTTTACACAGTGTCACTTTAGAACTTCATGGTTACATTGTAAAGTTCCTACTTGGGAGAGAATTTTTTTTTTCAGTTATGAGTTAATGATGAAGAAGAAGTCATTAACGTTTAGAAATTAAATCACTTTTCTAAGTTTTCACAGCTAATTGGAGAACTGTTGCCAGTTGGAAGTCTCAAAGTTTGGATCCCTTACTTCTCTGTGCAGGACACTAATTCGATATTTGTCACAGATCGTGTCTGGCAGTCCTGGCTCCAACAGAATGATCCAAATTCAATATGTAGCCTAGGAGAAAACA